ATATTAGTAATTAGTAATTTCTCTCCTTTTCTTTCATTAGCCTAGATAGACGTTTATCAATTTCATTGATCTTTTCAAAGAAACAGCTTTTGATTTTATTCATTTTTCTCTATTGTTTTTTTGGTTTCAATTTTGCTAATGTTTTGCTCAATTTTTATTTTATTCTGATTTATTTATGATTAAATTGCTCTTCTTTCTATCATTTCCTACAGGAGATGCTTCCATTGTTGATTTTTAGTTACTCTTTCTTAATTTATGCACCTGTTGCTACACACTTCCCTCTAAGCCCTGCATTTGTTGCTCACACAAATTTTTCTGAGTTGTATTTTCACTTTATTTAGTTTAGACGTGTGTTTAACCTCCATAGATTTGCATATTTTCCAGCGATCTTTGTTATTGATTTCTAGTTTAATTCCTTTGTGACCTGAGAACATACTTTATGTGATTTCTATTCTTTTGAAATTTGTTAGGGCATATTCAGGGCCATAAAACACACCTTATCTTGGTACGTGTATCTGTCTGCTGTTGGATAGAATGTTCTGTATATGCCATTTTTAGAGCCAGTTGATTCATAGTGCTGTTTAGGTCAAGTATGTCCTCATTGATTTTTCTGCCTGCTTAATCTATCAAATTATATTTTTTTCTTGTCCTTCAGCATCTGCTGTGATTTCTTTGTTGAAAGCCAGACATGATGTATTGGGTGGTAAGAACTGAAGACCTAGTTCTTTAGTGTGAGTTGTATGTTATTCTGACTATGACTTGAGTTGTGTCTAATGTTTGCTGCAGTGCCAGAGGTTTCAGATCCTTCGGGAGTCCTGTTTTGGTCTCCCCTCTTTGTCTTTAAGAGCTCCTCCTCACCTGGTGTCTTGCAGCCCTTTCAGCTGTCATTCACAGCCATTATACTGGAGCCTGTTAGAATACTGGTAAAGTGTGGAGGAGGGGATGCGTCCTGTGATCTTATCAGTGAGTCAGTCTGTCAGTGTGTCCTGGCTGTGCCCTGTGTAGTGTTTCTTACCCTCCTCCCTCTTCACCCCCTCAGGTGGGACAGGGAGGCCAGAGGGGCTTGGAGTCTGAGAAATGCCCCTCCCCCAGCTGGGACAGGCTCTGGAAAGCCTTTCCCCTGGAGAGTGGGCCCTGGTTACGGAGGATGCTCTGAGCGTATTGCACAGTGACGACTCTTCCCTTCCCCTGGGAGAGACCTTTCTTGGCTCTCATAGTGAGAACCCGGTGTGGTTCTTAGTGGTAAAACTATGCAAATTTGGGGGCCCCTAAGACTGTGGCGTCCAGGAGTTTCTCACTCTCGTGCTAGTCCACGCTCAGCTCCTAGCTGTTAGTCAAAGCCACCATTTAAGTGTTCCTACCAGTGGATGGCTCCAGCGGCTTTTCCAGGTGAGTGGGTCTCAGCTGTGATTCTGGGCTCTCCTGTCTCTCCAGATTTTGGGGTTATGGATTGATCTGTGACCGTAGTTCTCTGAAGTGTCCAAGAAACAGTCATCGATTTTCAATGTTCTCAGCTTTTTCTTGTTGTTAGGATGGGCGTGACGACTTCAAACCCCTTATGTGTTGGAGCTGAAACCAGAAGTCCCCTTATTGCTTTTTAAATTGCTGCCCTCCCTACCTTCCCACCAGTTGAAGGGGTCAGATTGGCTGGATGCGTTGCATCAAATGTCCTGACCATTGCTCCTGAGTTGAGAAGAGAGAAATCACCACGCTTTCCAATCAAAAAGACTGTTTCTGTGTCGTGGCTGCTCTAAGTTATTGCACACCCTTCCTGCTTCCTTCTTTTGTTGCTCAGATTTTTCTTGTTACCAAACTTGATATGGATTCTACAACAGAGCTCTTAATGTTTGTGCCAGTGCCAGTGTATGTGTGTGGGATGGGTGAGAGCTCTAGCCCCTTTCTAGTCCCCGTCAGCTTCCCTATCGTCTCTCCCACTCCTGACTTTTCATTGATGAAACATGTTTGCCTTCCTTGTACAAATGCATCTGTCAATCTACCCTTGCCCCCTCCCACCTGTGTTTTTAATCACAGAGCTCCCTAAGCTGCTGCTCAGATTCTGGTTTTTGTTTTTGTTTTTAAAGATCTTATTGGGAAATTGGAGGAGGGAACAGCCTTGGGGAATCGGGGGAGGGGAACAGACACATTGCTGTCCTTTTGTTCTTCAGTCTAGTTGTGGAAGATGTTGCCTCACTGGCCCATGTTGGTATTATCTTTGTGCTCTTCCCGGCTGAGGCAGATCGGTCGCCGGCCATTGGACGGCCGCTCATGGCGACTCTCGCCGGCTGCTGGCCACTCACAGTAGCTCACGGCAGCCCACTGCAGCCTACACCGTTGCCGGCGACTCACGGCAGCCCAGCTCCAGGTCGAGCTGTTGTTCACCATCTTAGCTGTAGAGGACGCAGCATCACTGCTCCATGTGGGATCTGAACTGGTGGCCCTGCTGCTCAGAGCTCACACTCCCAAGCCAACTCTTAACCAATGAGCCACTCGGCCAGCCCTCAGATTCTGTTTTAAAGTAGCAGACCCTTTATCCAGTTGACAGCTTTCAGATGCCCTCACTTACCTGTAATTTAGGAGTAAGCCAGAAGGAGGCAAAAACTGTGCCACCGAAGGAATAATAGCTATAAAACCCCATGTATCCTTCTTCCTTTTATCCCTAACACCATTGAGTGGGACAGATCCAGGTTGTTGTAGAGCATGGGTTTATGGGCAGTTGGAACCTGGAGAGCGTGAGGAGGGCACCTGCCGGGGAGGGAACAAGGTAGCAACAGGAAGATTGATCAGATAAGTGAATGTATTGAAGATAATGGCAGTCAGGTTTCTCAGTGTTGGAGAAGGGAGTTGGGCATATGGAAAGAAACTGGAATGAACACTGTGGTATTAGATCACGGTTGGAAGCACTGGACCTCAGTTGGACGTTAACTCATAGGTTTTATATCTTTAGATATATATGTAAAAAGAAAAATAGATAACATCAATGAATGTGTATAAATGTGTAAACACACATATATGCATACATATATACATACAGACATATAGCCAGTCCCTAGCGTTGTCCACTGAAATGTTCTTGGAGCAAGCGCCCCATTAGCAATGAGCACACTTGGCTCCCAGATTTTGGCTTTTACATATTATTCCTCATTAGAGGAACCAGGGATCCTTGGAGAAATGGCTGATCTCAGGGCCGGAGCAGGAAAAGGACAATATGAACTCGGATTATTTCAGTGTACCAGAAAGTACAAAGAGTGATGGGGACATGACCAAAGGGCACAGAAACCAACTTAAAGGGGCTTCCACTGGCCAAATCTCAGACTGTCTAATTTGAGCATCAAAATATTGAGAATAGTGGATTATAATCCATTGAATAAAGTAGGAAAACATGAAATCATACTGATATAGATAAATGAATCAATTAGATTTGATGCAGAACAGGAAATTTACATAGTAGTTTTCAAAGTAGTACCTCTCTACAGAGTATTTGTTAATTACAAAAGGAAAAAGGGGGTAGCCTCACAGTGCAGAAGCTTGGCAAACACTATCTTAATCGATTGATCCAAGGGAATTGTACAGTAATAGGACAAACCGATATTGTCTGCCACCTGTAGGATGTGATGAAAAGGATACACCACTTCTGTGACTTTTGCCAAAGACTTACAACCTGAATCAAATTATAATACAGTTGTGATGAAACATCACACAAACCCAACCTGTAGGATGTTTCTACAGAAAAATTGGCCTATAATCTTTGAAAGCGTCAAGGTCATGAAAGTCAAAGGTTGAGAAACATCTCTTTGGCCTGCGTGAGTATAGAGAAATGACAGTTAAATGCAATCTGATTCTGAACTGGGTCCCTTGTAGCAAAAGGACATTATTGGGATATTTTCTAACATTTGAATGGGATCTGAGGATGATTGTAGGAATGTAGTGGTGTTATTTTTCTGAAGTTGGTGATTGTACTGTTTTATGTGCTTGTTTTTACGAAATATACGACTACAGTATTTGAGGATGATAGAGTGTTAATCAGTAACTTACTCCCTAATAATTCAACTTTTCTTTATGTTTGAGGTTGTTAAAAAACATAAAAGTGTGTATTACTTGGTCAGGCAGTTTGTGGCCCTAATTTAGAGCCTATTTATTACTAGAGAATTATATGTGAAGTAAATTTAGGAGCTTAATCCTCTCCGCCATCTTGATTCTCAGGCAATGGAAGATTATGGAAAAGTGCTTTTTTTTTTGGTTTGCTGTTGATTCATGGTGCTGTTCCTGACAACAGAATGATCAGCCTTTGTGTTGTGTGCCTAGGGTCTGTGAAAGACTTCACTGCATTTTCTTATTTGCTTCCCACAGTGCCCTACAGGAGTAGGCAGAGGTTCTCCTTCACATTTGAGATGATGGTCAGATAATAACGATGGGCAACACTTATATAGTACTTTTTATGGCCAGGTAATAGTCTAAGCACTTTGAATGCTAAATACACTCACTCGTTTAATTCTCCCAGTTACCCGATGAGGTAAGTATACTGTGACTATTCCATTTTACAAACAAGGAAATCAGAGAGGTTAAATAACTCGCCCAAGGTCACACAGCTTGAAAGTGGTAGGGCCAGGATTTAAGTGAGGCATTCTCACTCCAGATCCAAAGCTCTAATTTACTGGCTCATGGTGCCTCCTGTATTGAGATACTGAGGAATGCAAACACTTGGCGAGGTTAGGTGACTTGTCCAGGGCCCCTTGTTCACTTATTCACTGATTCTGCAAATCTGTGCCGAGTGCCCAGAAATGCCAGGTGCTGTTCCAAATGCCAGGAAACAGGTACCAGGTAGCCCTGAGGCCCGGGCCACAGGGAGTGTGGGCTCTAGTGAGGTGGATGGAAGAACGGGCCGGCGGTGGCGCGAGGTCCAGGTACAGACTCAGTGCCCTTGCACCGGGAGTGACGCCGCAGGTGAACGGCCTGTGGTCAGTCCCTGTGTTCAGAGGTGCACTTTCTTCTTTCTTTTGAAGGTCGCCTGGTCGGTGCCCTGGATGCTGTGCTGGATTCCAGTGCCCGGGTGGCCCCCTTTCGAATCCTGCTTCAAGTTCCCGGGTCCCAGGTTTATTCTCCCATAGCATGTGGTGAGTTACTGAGTGGATCAGACGTTTACTGGGCCATAGCCACGGGTGAGTTTTGTTCCAGTTGGAACTTGCACACCTTTTGAGCACGCTGAGAACCTGCCTGCATGCTGGCGGTGGGAGCTTGAAGGTAACTCCTTTTAGGACCTCCTCTGCTTCTCTGATCTCTTTTCCTTTTCCTTAACCATCAAAAGCGCATAAAGGCAATAAACTTGGACCACTGAGCTGGGGCATGCCAGGCTTTCGAGTGGTGTGTGGCTCCACATTGCTGTGTGTTGTTGAGTATGAGTCGAGCCGTTTTCTTAATCTTGCGTCTGACATAACCAGCGTGTTCCTGGGTGTGTGTACCTGTTGCGATGGGGGAAATGTCTGGGGCTGTGTCTGACGTGGGGCCTTCACTGCCTCGTTCCACATGTGCACCGAGACAACCACTGGGCTGCTGGGCTCTACGGGAAGGTAGGAATTACCTTCTCAGCCTGTCTACCTGAGGTGCAGCCCCTCCTGCAGGCACCAGCCAGCTCCCCCCTCACCAGTCAGGCACCTCTGGGGCCAGCCGTCCTTACATCCTGAGAAGCCCCTTTGCCTTACAAACCGAAACAAGAGGTGTCTTTTGAATTGCACAAGTAATAAGAACTTTAAAAACAGGTAAGAGGGGAAGAAAACGAAGTCCCCTAAAACTCCTTATCCAGTGTGAATATCACTCTTCTGTCTACACATCTGCATATACGTATGGAGTGGTTTGTTTTTGTTTTGTTTTTTTCATTTTGCTTTCCCTCCTAACATTTTACTAGCTACCATAGACTTCCAACAGCACCTTGCATTCTTTCACAACATTGGATTTCTTTTTTTTTTTCCTGGAAAAAATACAGAAAAGAACAAAGAAGAAAGTTGTCACCTATATCCCACTATCCAGTACTCACTGCTGTGAAGGTCTTGGCATGTTTTTATTTTTTATTTTTCCAGTCCATTTTTTTTTTAAAATTAAGACAAACCAGTCTGTACTTTCATAAAACGATAAATACAGCACACGCTCAATATAAAGATACCAATTAACACTGAAAGGTACGAAGAGGAAATGCTCTTTGGCCCCACATCCTAGCCGCCCCACGTGACTGTCAGTCAAGTTTTCACTTGATTTCAATAAAAGGCAAGAAGCTGCAGTGAAACCGAAGAAACTTCAAATAAATGTGTCTTTAAACACAAGAGGGCTTGTTTTCTAAAAGGTTCACTTAAGTTTAAGGAAGAGATTTTTGAAAGCATTACAAGGTTAGAAATATGGCTTTTTAAAACAATGTTTCAGCTCTGACATTGTTCATTGATTCTGACCCTGAAGGACAAAGGAGGCCAGCATTCTTATTCTTCCCCTGCTTCTCTAATCTCTCATTTTAAAAAAGTTTCATTGTTAATTTTACATTGTAATTCCTGTTCTGTTCTGTAACCATGCTTTCCATCATTGTTTGGCGTAGTTCTCTATTTAAATTAATTTAATGCTTCTACTCAGGCATGGCTTTCCCAATGTAAATTTATTTTTATTTTTTTGGCTCATGTCTTAGTTGGCTAGATTCCTGTTTTCTTCCCCCAGTAATGACTTCATTTGCAAATGTGTATCCCTTGCTTTTGGATTTGAATGACACCTTGGCTGTGTGTGATAGTCTGTGACCGTTCTCTAGAGCTTGAGGGCTGTCGCTCTGGGGTGTTTCAGTATTTAACGTGGTAGTGGGAGAAATCTCAGGCTGGTCTGACCCCCTCCTCCCCCAACTTTTGGGTGATGTACTTTTTGGGCATATAACTGTCTTTATTGTTGAAGTTTAGTAACATAGCTCCAATTTGTTACTGCCTTGAGCACATTGTGTTAAATTTTTCTGGAACTTGATGTGCTCTTTCAATATGCAGATTGATTGATCATTTCAGGAAATTTTCTTATATCACTCTGTATACATATTATATATTTTTAAAGTGCATTTATGTTCCATTGATTGGATTGTCCACGTCAAGGACACTTCATGTTGAGCAGCTGTGGTCTTCTTTTCATTTTTGTCTGATTTTCTCTTTTTCAACTTGTACTCTCCATGCTGTTCATAAACCTTTCCTCTAAGTTAATAATTCCATTTTCGGCAGTGTATCCCACACTTGGCTGCTTTGAACTTATTTACCCATTTTGTTGTCCTGTTGTTTTGATACTCCGGCATTTCCCAAGGTCTCTAATCTCCCCTCTCACCTGCATTATTTCACCATCTCATCTCTGAGCTCTGGTTTTATTCATATTTTTGTTATATTGTTTGGGAGCATGAAGCATCTGTGAGAATTCCCTTTGCTTCCCCAAGTGTTGGTTTTCTTCTAGGACAGAATTTCTGTCTGTTGAACACCTCCCTGGATGTTTGTTTTTCTTCTGTTGCTGTCCCGTGTTTTGTTGGGGGTTGCGTGTTCCTCCTCACCCTTCTCGTGCTTGGACACTGTCACCCCAGCCCAGCACTGTGTTATTTGCACTAACATAGTGAGTGTGACTTTTTAACTTGTGTTTTGGGGACAGAGCAAGAGAGGACTGGTGGGCTGGACGTGGGATGTGAGGGGGCAGGACCCTGTCCTGTTTCCTGTTTATCCCATTTCTCCACTTTCACTCCGCCCAGGCCAAAGACTTGGTCTCGCTGGGGATTTGAGGCTTTTGATGGGGCTATGTGGATTTTTGTCTCCTTGCTAGACTGGCTTCTGGGGTGTCCGCAGGGTGGGCACTGTGCTCAGTTCCTGAATCTTTGTAGCCCAGGATGCTGACAGTAGCCAATCAGGGCTCCTGGAATACCTTGGAGCCACAGGGAACAGTGTTGTTAATAGCGACACGGCATTCAACCTTATAGCTCTACCTAATGTACTCATCCAGTCCTTTATTCAATGCGTAATTGTTTCTGATTTTTAAAGTATTTAAAAAAACTTAAATATCTGTGCACTTAACTACTCCAGTTCACTCGCAGTCCCCACAGTCTGTTTGAAAGGTTTGATGCCTGCCACGTACCAGACACGTGCTTGGTGTCGGGATTGGTCAGAGAGTGTGAAGCGGAAGTGTCCTCCTATCTGGCTTTCACCAGTGAGTGGCCCTGGGGAATACAGATAGCAGTCTGGAAATGGCAGATACAGGTGGAACAAGGATCAGCAAAGCGAGACAGGTCAGGACCCTTGAAGAGCCCGTACTAAAGAATGGCTCCATCAAAGGGATACATGTTCAGAATGCCCTAGGTATGTTCTCTCCAAATTGCCTGCCATAACGGCTGTAGCCACTTACACTGGCTCCTCACACCCCAGCAGTGTGGTCACCCTGAGCAGGTTTAACTCCTAAACCTTGCTTTCTGTTGAGCCGAGATCTGCTTCCTCTGGTTTCCATTTAGCTAGATATTTGCCTTGGACCTGACCCGTGGCAGGTCTGTAGATGCTCCACTTTCTTCTGTCATCTTGGCTACAGAAGGCCCCCTGATGAAGCAGCTGTACTTCCCAGGGCAGCTTGTCTTAGGTTAGGAAAGGGAGAATGGTGAGGGCGTTCGGTGAGGGGCTTGTGGGATTGACCTAAGTGCTTAGGCCTCTTCTGGGAGGTTACTTGGGCATCTTGCACCATGTGATTGCCTCACCATATATAATATTTTATTGTGTCTTGAGCATTGAGAGAGGATTCATTCCCGGGGTTTTGAGCCTCAGATAAAGCACAAGCAAGAACGGTAGGAAAGGCCTGGGTGGCACCAGGACGTGGGGTAAGAACAGGAAGAGTGGCCTGCAAGAATGATTTATATCTTCATTGAATTTTGGCAACTCACACAGCAATATGGGAAGACATAGGACAGCCTTGAGGAGACTTCTTTTTTTTTCTGTTTCTTTTAAAGCAGAAGAGGAAGAGATGGGTAGATAATTTTATGGGTGAACAATATTATTATTTGGCAGCAGAGATCTGTCGATGACTGGTTGGAAGGAAATAAGAGAAGTTGCTGTTATGATTATTTTTTAACTTATATGGACCAAGGACTCCCAAGGCTTTATAAACACAGCTTCAGTGGATGCCATATATTGTTGAGTGGCTATGAGTTGTTTAAAAGGAGGTGGACAGAGGAGAGTGCCCTATCATTCCGGTCAGAGCCCAGATGTCCCCCCCCACCACACACATACATACCCTGAGGCCTCCCTGACACCCAGCCAACTGCTTCCTGTGTTCCAGCACTCGATACTGTCATTTTTATTCTTTTTTTTTGCTTGCTACCCTATTAAAAATACATTTTCTCAGAGTCATGTTCAGCCCTGACCCTGCAGTGCCCAGGACAGAGCCTGGCGTTTGGTGAAGAGCAGGTGGGCAAATCAGTGGTGAGGTGTGGGAGACAAGGTAGTGGGCTTGGCCGTAAAGACTCCTTCCTGTATGTAAGGAGGGGAGGCAGTACCTGGAACCACACAGGACACTTCTTGGGCCCCTTCTGAGAAGCCCGGGCAGGACATCCCAGGGCGGGCCAGGGCCTGGATCTGGAGCTGTGTAATAAGCCCCCAGGACCATTGAGCTGTAGAGAAACTTGCAAAACAGGGATCTTTTTTTTTTCTTTTAAAAAATATTTTTATTGTGGTAAATATACGTAACCTAAAACTTACCATCTTGACCATTTTTAAGTGTACAGTCCAGTGGCATTAAGTACACTCACATGCTTAGCATCACCACTATCCATCTCCAAAACTTTTTTATCTTCCCAAACTGAAACTCCATACCCATTAAACACTAACTTCCCGTTCCTCCTTCCCCCCAGCCCCTGGCAACCATCACTCTACTTCCTTTCTCTACGAATTGAATTACTTTAGGAATACCATGTAAGTGGAATCACATAATCTTTGTTCTTTTGTGGCTGCCTTGTTTCCCTCAGCATAATGTCCTCAAGGTCCATCCATGTCGTAGCAGGGGTCAGAGCTTCATTCCGTGTAGGGCTGGGGAATAATCCATGGCATGTCTGCTTTCTTTTTGAAATCTAATCTGTAATGACTGGTGCACGAGTAGATAGTGAGAACACGGCATGAGGAACCAGGAGAGTGGAAGC